CCGGGGACCTCAGCCCCTCCCATCCCAGGTGCTCCCAGCCGGGCACGGACCCGGCATTCGCAGCGGCGCGCGCCTCCCCGCACCCCTTCCCGGGGGACTCCGAACCCCAATCAGTCCCCTGGCCCGGCCGCGCCACTCACCCTGCTCCCCGCAGGAACCTGCCATCGCTGGGAACCCCGGACCCGAGACTGTGGCGACAGATAGTTCTCAGAATCTGATGCAACCACTGACCCGGAAGTCCCGCCCCTCGCCCAGCCCACCTTCCGGGACACGCCCGGTCGCTAAGCAACCGCCGCGGGCTCCAGACGCTGCTGGCCCAGTACATGCTGGGAGCTGTAGTTCTCTCCCGCAGCAGCCCAGCCCGCAGGTTTCGTATTGAGAACCAGGGAGCAGGTCCGGGTGAGCCTGGGCAAGGGATGCCGGCCCGGGGCAACCACTCTAGCCGCGGGACACAGGAACTAAAGGCAGACTCGCATAGGTGTTTAAATTACGATTGTACCCACTGCGGTGGGAACAAGACCCAGCCAGACTCCCCATTCATCTAATCCTACCCTAACCATGTCCCTGTGCTGGACCGGGAAGGGAAGTACTTGGGGAAGGGTTGGGCATGCGTGGAAAGTGCATTCCAGGCAGAGAGCTCTGTCCTGATCCCGCCGAAACCAAGCTACTGTGCTCTGCTGGAGCAAAACCTGCAGCAGCCGGTAGCAAGAACAGGGCTTGCGCCAGAACCGGCTGGCAGAAGTCAAGGAAGGCAGAGACTCACGGAAGGGTTTGACAGGAGCAACCTAAACCATATTTGTGCTTAGAACCATCACTCCAGCTGCTGCTGCTGAGTGTAGGGGCACAGATGGATGGATCCCTGAAAGCCAGAGGGCTTTTTGGCAGGAAGCTGTTTCAGTAATCTCTAGGAGAGGTGGACTGAGAGATTTGAGAGACTCACAGGAGGCAGTAAACCGGTGGGATCTGAGGAGTGATAAGGGAGACAATGCAGGTGGGATAACACCCAAGTTTGTGCACTGAGAAAGAATGGCTGGGTGATTGTGGCATTTAACAATGAACTCAGAGTTGAAGATGCCTGGCACTGGATGGAGACAGGAGGCTGCTCTGTGGATATTTCCAGGGGCTGGTGCTAGATTCAATGTTTAGGGTGAGGGAGAGGTATGGGCAGGGTGGGGCTCACGTTCTCAGTTGATCAACAGATGAACGATGCCATCTTTCCCAGGGACAGAGATGCCTAGGAACGGTACAAACCAAAAGAACAGGCTTCTCCCTTCCAGAACCCTTTTCCAATCTCCCCAGCCCCGAAACACATCAAGCTCTCTGGGACCCTGGGCTTCCTCTGTGCATGATGTCACCTTCCAAGGATATCCTACCCAAGGTTTGTGCACCCACAACTGAAATGAGAAGAAATGCAATTTTTAAAAAATCAAATTTTATTACATAAGAATAAAGTATTACATTGTATAATGCTATATTTTATACCAGTTTTTTAAAAATTGTAAAAATGTTAAAAGCACCAGGCCACTTAGGTGGCGTGGAAGTTGGGTAGCTAAATTCCCCATGGATGACTACACCCCAGCCCTGGAACCAGCAGCTTGAAAAATATGCTGGGCATGTGTGCATGCCCAAATCCCAAGAGGAGAATGGAGAAGGGATTGTAGTGTGATCATTCCCCCTGGGGGATCATTTCTCACTTTCCCTTCTTTCTCTAGGAAACATGTGTATTTTATAGCAAACTAAAAAAATAAATAAATAAAGTAAGAAAGTCTCTGTGATTATCCCCATGCCCCTTGCTAATTTTGGTTTAGAGTTAGAGGAAAGTATCCATCTAAATCCATTCTTATCCTCTGGTAGAAGACCAAAGGACAGTCTGATTCTGGTACCTGGTATACTCTAGTGTCTCCAACTGCTACATTTGATGTTCACTTACTCATACATATTTTTTTCTTTGAGAGGTTTTTGCTATAGGGTGTGTGTGCTTGCCCGAAAGACAGAGAGAGACAGAGAGACAGAAAGCAAGAAATCACCCCCCCCCAGGGGGGATGGCTACGCCACAATCCCTTCTCCTCCATTCTCTTCTCGGAATCTTGGGCACGCACGCACACGTGCCTGGCATGAGTTTAGGCCACCGGGTCCAGGACTCGAACCGCAGGGACTACATGGGAGTCCAGCGACATAGCCATTATGCTAACTGCTGGTCTACTCATACATATTTATGGAGCACCTAGACTGCATCCATATCCTGTTCTAAGCCATGAGACCATCACAGTGAATGTGAGAACCAGTGGGAGGGATGGGAAGACAAACAACAAATCCTCCTAGCCTCAGCTCTTGTGGAAGAATCTCTGAGGACTAGGGGACTGCTTGGCATAGCAAGCTGGTAACAAGCTCATAGTCCTTTGGAACCCACTTACAACAGACCCCTCTCCACCACAGACAGCAGGCAGGGAAGCACTCTGGCTTGGATGCAGAACTGACCTCCTTAGAAAGAGTCTGTTTAGAGAAGGGATGCAGCATTTTGTGGGATATTCCAACAGAATCAGAGTGGTACAAGAACTCCAACAGATTCATTCAGGATATTGGTTAACGTCACACCTCCTGAACCAAAAAAGACTTGGCTCTAATTTGAGATCTCAGAATGTTTACCTAAAATACCTTCAGCAGTCAAACGGTTTATAATATTTTGCAAACACATGTTTAACTCCATTTTATGGAGGGCAGCCATGAGCTTAAAAATAGAAGCATCCTTTCCAAATTTATAATTCCACTTGACGAGCATCTTATAACGTTGTTCCATTACATTTCCTATATTTTCCTGTTCGCAGACATCAATTTCATTTTCTTCAAGTCCGATGAATCTCATAAACATCTTCCAGTTACCTTTTGGAACTTTAGATATAATGATATAAAAACACCTATTGATGGCTGGAAAAAATAAAGAAAGAAGAGTTTGTTTATAGCTCTGGAAAGACCATGTAACATCCACTGCAAGTCTGATGCCCAATTTAGAGGTTCTGTGTGACCCAACTGATCCCAAAGAAAAGACCAGACTCGGAGATCAGGAGACCAAGGTTGGGCCAGGACCTACACCAACTCTCACCATGCCTGTTGCTCATTCATTACTCAAGAACCATGTGTCACCCAAACCTACACAGCTGCTGCTTTCCTAGGAGAAAGGACAAGGTTGCCAGGAAAGTCAGAAGCTTCATGTGAATAAAGGCTGTTGAGGCAGCCTAGCCTTCCTTTCTCCCACAGAGGAGGACTAGCACCAGGTCAGGCAAGCCAGTGCTAGGATTTGAGACCTAAGGAGAGTGAATCTCTCTGAGCGTTGGGTTGTTTTGTTTTTAAATCTGCAAAATGAAGGTGTTCTGACAGAGTTGTTAGTGAGGACGAGGCATAATTAACTATCTAGCCCATAACATGTGCTCAGTAGATTCTCATTTTTCTTCAACTAAAACATAGCATTATAGCCAATAAGGGACCTACTAATCTAGAGTTATATGTGCATTCCTAACACATTTCTTCTTAAAAACATGGATACACTCTAAAATAAAGGTGACATAAAATGTTCTTAAGACTTTGAACTCGGGACCAGCAGATGGTGTAATGGTTATGTTGCGGGACTCCCACAAAGCCAACTGCAGTTTGAGTCCTGGACCCAGAGACTTGAAACTCATGTCGGGGGCAAATGCATGAATGCATGCATGCCCAAAATCTTGAGGGGAGAATGAAGGAGAAAGGGTTCTGGCATGGCCATTCCCCCTGGGGAGTGACTTCTCATTTTCTATCTCTGTCTCTGTCTCTCTGGTGAGCACATGTGCCCAATAGCAAAATCTTCTCTAAAAAAAACAAACAAACAACAACAAAAAAAAAAACGACTAGGAGCCAGCAGGTGGCACAGTGTTTCAGGTGCTGGACTCCCACATGGCCGACCATGGTTCAAGTCTCAGACCTGGTGGCTTCCTTTCTCACTTTCCCTTTCTCTCTCTTTCTGTCTCTCTCTGGTCAGATTAAAATAATAATAATAACAAATAAAATAAAATAAATAATTCTAAAAAAAGAAAAGACTACAAAATTTGGGGGCCAGCAGATGGTCTAGTGGTTATATTGCTGGACTCCTACATGGCCAACAGGGTGGCCCAGACCTGGTGGCTTGAAAATCATGCTGGAGGGCCAGCATATGGTGTAATGGTTACTTCACTGAACTCTCACATAGCTGACCACAGTTTGAGTCCCAGACCCAAGTGGCTAAACTCACACCAGGTGCATGTGCACACGTGCCCAAGATCCCAAGAGGAGAAGGGATTGCAGCATGGCCATCCCCCTGGGGGTGAGGGTAACTTCTTGCATGTGCCCTATAGCAAAAAATCTCTCTTAAAAAAAAAGAAAAGAAAAGAAAAGAAAGCAAATCACGCTGGATTCATGTGCATATATGCCCAATTTCTCAGTAAGAGAATGGAGAAGAGATTAGCATGTGGTTGTCCCCCCTGGGGGAGTGATTTCTTATTTTTCTTCTCACAGTCTCTGTCTCTCTCTCTGTCTCTGGCAAGCACACACGCCAGAAGGCAAAAACCTCTTAAAGAAAAAAAAAAAAGACTATGAAACTTATATGTGCCAACCGTTAAAGGCACTGGACTTCCACATGGACCTGACAACTTGCTTTCTAAACACTTTCTCTCTCTCATTCTTTCTTTCTTTCTCTCTCTCCATTCCTCTCTAGACAAATTTTTAAAAAAGAAAAGAAAGAATAAAGTTAAATAATTCTTAAAAAAAAAAAAAGAAAGAAATACAGACATTAGTCCCTGACCTTCACACCAAAGATTTAACTCTAAACAGATGCTATAAATAAAGAATTCAAGTTACTTACTCTCAGAGGACATATTCTTTAAAACATACTTTTGTGCATATTCCTGTGGAGAGAAGAGAAATTATTTGTAGAGAAGTCTGTCCAGCCCCTCAGAGGGACTCTACGCAAACAGAACCAGAATCTAGTTTCTTATGAAAGCTTCAGAGGGGGGACAAGTGGGCTTCTAGAACACAGCTGGCCTACGAGAAAGCCCACTACTGTGCCCACCACAGACAGTAGAGGGCCCACAGTCCACCTGTGTCCTCCAGGCCGACCCTCCCAGCACACTGCTGTGGCCGGGCTCGGCTACCTGTGTTCTCAGGGCTGCTCTGTTTGACCATCCATTTAACCAGCTGCTAGTAGAGAGAGCTTCTAAATCCTGGCTCTCCAGAGAATAAGGTTGGGTGTCTCCTTTAGTATCATTCAGGGACTGGGGCTAGACCTAGTGGGTTCAAATCCCAAATCTGCCTCTGGGCAGCTGTTGGCCTGATTCATTACTTGCTCTTTTTTTTTTTTTTTTGGCATGGCTGCCTCATCTGTAAAACTGGATAATAGCAGCTTCTCCTCACAGCACAGCCCAAGAGGGATACCCAGACACTGCTCTGACTCCCTCAGTGTCTCTCCACATGGGCTAGGAGTCCTAAGTGCTCTGTTTTATTTGTTTCAGATCCTTTCCAGCTTCTAACAAGAGTCAGAGACCGTCTCCCTGAAAGGACACAGAAGGACACAAGGGACCCACACTGCGTGCAGCTTCCAGAGTTGCCAACCTTGACACCCATGCTAGTGTCCCAGAATCCACAGCTTCTGGCTGCAGGCCCATGACCTCCCCCTGGTACCCTTCCCTTAACACCTGACCTGCTGCATCCTACCTTTAAGATCCAGAAGTAGGGGGAACCAGTAGTTAGCTTAATGGCTATGTCACTGGACTCCCACGTAGTCGACCGCGGTTCGCGTCCTGGACCCGGTGGCTTAAAACTCTCGCCGGGCGCGTGTGCGTGCGTGCCCAAGATCCCGAGAGGAAAATGGAGGAGAAGGGATTGCGGCGTGACCATCCCCCCTGGGGAGTGATTTCTCGCTTTCTGTCTCTATGTCTCTGTCTGTCTGGTGAGCGCACGCGCCCTATAGTGAAAACCTCTCCAAAAAAAAAAAAAAAAGATCCAGAAGTAGGGGTTCTGTGTCATTCCTCAAACACTTCTGAGACCCTAAGCACACTATCCCCTCTGCCCAAAGGCCCTCCTTCTCAGGGCCTCTTAGCTGTGTCGGCTCATCTTGTCAAATTCAACTCAGGTAGTGCCTGCTGGGGACGGACCCTCCACAGCCTCAAGATGGAGAATGGAGATGGTCACTCTCCTCTGGATACTGTTATATGTGGGTATCTGCTTCCGTTCTGCATGACCTTACCAGTGGATGTGCCATCCCCTCTCCCTCCCATGTCCCTGCACTCCCACCTCCCAGCCTGTCTGACTTCACCGGACACACCGCCTGGCACACAGGAGGCACTTAAGCAGTCTACCGAGCAGGATCAGAAGTGAGCACGTGCTCAGGAGACCGAGCTGTGTCTAAGAAGAGATCTGGGGTCTGGTACTAGTGGCCCTGCCTCCTCAGTCCTGCTGAGGACACCTGGGCGAGGAAGCTCCCTAAACCTCAGCATCTCTCTCACTATCACAGTCCTCTGGCATAGCCAGTTAGGTTGGGGATCATTATGGGTTGAACTGTGTTCCACCCCTGCTCCGAAAAGATGCTGACGTCCTAACTCTCAGGATCCATGAACATGATTCTAAATAGGATCTTCATAGTTGATTAAATGATAAAATGAAGGTATTAGGATGGCTTTTTGGTTTTTTGCTTGTTTGTTTGTTTTGCCATAGGGTGTATGCGCTCACCAGAGAGACAAAGACAGTGAGAGAGAAGGTGAGAAATCACCCCCCAGGAGGGATGGCCATGGCTCAATCCCTTCTCCTCTGTTTTCCTCCTAGGATTTTGGGCATGCACACACACACACACTCGGCATGAGTTTCAAGTCACCGGATCTGGGACTTAAACCATGGTGGCAGTCTAGCATCTTAACCATTATGCCACCTGCTGGCTCCTAGGGTGGGTGTTAATCCATATGACTGGTGTCCTTATAAAAAGGGAAAATCTGGACACAGAGACAGACACACACAACAAGGACACAAAGTGAAGATGAAAGCAAACACTGGGCTGATCAGTCCACGAGCCCGGAATACCAACGGCTGCCAGCAAACCAGCAGCAGTGCAGAGAAGCCTGGACTAGATCCTCTCTCATGGCCTCAGAAGGAACCCACCCTGCCCAGGCCTTGATCTTAGACTCCCAGCCTTCAGCATTAGGAAAGAGCAATGTCCGTTGTGTGAGCCACCCAGGCACAGTAAATTCAGACTTTATCGTATTTAGGACCATCCAAAAGTTTCATTTACCTGTGCCAGATCATTCAGGGAGGCTGCTGACTCCATCTGGCCCTGGGGCTCATGGGCAGCAGGAGGAGTGTGCAGTGCCTGCTCTGGGGCTGCTGGGCTTTCTTCAGCCACCAGCCCCGCTGGTCCAGAGCTCTCGAGGTTCTCAGAGGCCCCAGGGCAGGTCTCAGGCTCTGGTGCGAAGGGTAAGCACTCATTTCCCGGCAGTTCTATTGCCAGGGCAGAAGCCGGCCTGTCCTTGGGCAGCAGTACATCACTGAGCATGCTGTTGGTAGATGACTAAAAGACAAAGTCATTTCTTTTGGTGACAGAAACCTGAAACACAACCTACCCAAACCACTTTTGTAGGAGGAAATGTCATTTGTCTGAGAGGCAAGCCAGGGCTGTGTAGTTGTAGATGAATACTGCACAGGGTCAGTCCCCAGCTCTGCAACCAACTCCCTGCAATAGTCCCAAGAAAAGTTTGATGTGAGTTGAGCTATGCCTCCTCCCCTAAAAAGATATGTCCATGTCCTGACCCCTGGCACCTGCAACTCTGACTACACTTGGAAATATAATAGGTCTTTGCAAACGTAGTCAAGTTAAAATGATGTCATCCTAGATTCCAAAGACTGGTTTCTTACACTGAGAAATTCAGAGACAGAGGAGGGGAGAAGGCCATGTGAAGATGGAGGCAGAGTTTGGAGTGGTGTGTCTACACACTGAAGAGCACTGGCACCTAACAGAAACTGGGAGGGAGGCGAGGCAGGATCCTCCTCTAAGGCCTCTAAAAGAACCACCCGGCTAACACCTTGATTTTGGACTTTTGACCTCCAGAACTGTGAAGCAATACATTCCAATTGGTTTTTTGCTTTGATGTTTTTTTTTGTTTGTTTGGTTGGTTGGCTTTTATTTATTTGTTTGTTTGTTTTGTTATTTTTCAGTTTGTTGTAGGGTACATGTGCTCACCAGAGAGAGATGGAGAGGATGGAGAAGGAAAGTGAGAAAGCAAGCAGGTCCAGGTGATCGACCACGTGGGATTCCATCGCCTTAACTACCACATCACCTGTCAGCTCCTGTTTTTTTGTTTGTTTAATTTGTATAGGGCATATGTGCTAGCCAGAGAAAGACAGGGCTGGGGTTGGAGGGGCAGGGGGATGGTGAGAAATCACCCCTGGCAGGATGGCCACACTGCAATCCCTTCACTTCCATTCTTCTCTTGGGATTTTGGGCACCCATGCACACACAAACACGTGTTTTTCAAGCTGCCAGATCTAGGACTTGAATTGTACAGTCAGCCATGTGAGATCCAGCCCCCTTAACCACCACGCCACTAGCTGGCCCAATTACTCTTGTTTTAGCCCTCCTCCGCCCCTGTCCCCAGTTTGTGGTCATTTGTTAACAGTAGCTCGAGAGCACTCACACGAAGCCCTTTGCCTCTCTGGGTCCCAATGTCCACTCAAAAGTCTAAACCACCAGAAGAATATCAGGCCCTTCCGGCACAAACACGTGGGGCTCCAATAGCGCAGATGCAGACTCTACTGCACAATATAAAACAGAGTGAAGGATGGGGGCAGGCCTGGGGTTGCCCCTTGCCCACCCCTGGGAGTCTCTGGGACTTCGTCGTCACTGAGGCCTAAATGCTCAGGAGCCCTGAGCCACCATCAGGCATTCCCAGGAGAAATGTACCCAAATCCCAGAATGATACTTACACGGCTGCCTGGCTCAACTGACTCTCCTGAAAATCAAAATAGAAGAGACATGAAATCAATGTATGTTAAATGAACCAATGACCTCTGCAACAGAAAGGAAATGCCTTGAACTGACCATAAAGAAAAGTATACTGGGGACCAGCAGTTGGTATAATGGCTATGTCGCTGGGCTCCCATGTAGCCGACCGCGGTTCAAGTCCCAGACCCAGTGGCTTAAAACTCACGCCGGGCGCGTGTGCGTGCGTGCCCAAGATCCAAAGAGGAGAATGGAGGAGAAGGAATTGTGGCATGGCCGTCCCCCCTGGGGGGGGTGATTTCTCGCTTTCTATCTCTCTTTCTCTCTCTGTCTTTCTGGCAAGCGCACGCACCCTATAGTGAAAACCTCTCAGGGAAAAAAAAAATTTTTTTAAACTTAAAAAGAAAAAAAAGAGAAGTATACTTACGTCTGAAAACCTTGACAAAGAGCCGTTGGAGACCTAGGAGAACAAAGAGTTGGTCAGTGAACCCAGCCCGGAGTCCCCGCCTCCCCCAAAACTCCCTCTCCCCTGGCTGGGGCAGCACCAGCCTCCCCCTCTACTGCTCACGATCAACCTGGAAGGCCCATCTCCCGTGCCATTGCCATTGCAGCCAGCTGACCTAAAATTCTGGTCTCCCCCACTTAGACCTCTTAGGGGGACCAGCAGATGGCGTGATGGTAACATCGCTGGACTTCCACATAGTCAACTGCGGTATGTCCCAGACCCAGTGACTTAAAACTCTTTGTTGGGTGCATATGTGTGCATGCCCAAAGTCCTGAGAGGAGAAGGGACTGTGGCATGCCCATCCCCTGGGGGGTGATTTCTCACTTTCTGTCTCTCTGTTTCTCCAGTGAGCACACATGCCCTATGGCAAAAATCTCTCTCTCTTAAAAAAAGAAAAACCTCTTAGTATATGACTGCCTGCCTATCTCTGAGCTCCAAGCTCAGACACTCAAGAGGCCTCTTGAGTAAGAGAGTGAGAACCTCAGAAAACATGGCCATTTTGAAGCTACTATGAGTTGCTTATCTTTTGTTCTCGCCAATCAATCTAGCTCTCATTTGTCTTTTTTTTTTTTTTTTTAAGTACAGGAGCTTGCTGGAGTGATCATCTTGCCCCAGACTCCTAGCTGGAAGTACAGGCATGCACCTCCACACCTAGGACTTTCTTTGGGCAAGAACTTCCCATGTTGCCTAGGACAGTCTTGAGCTCACAACCTTCCTGCCTCAACTTCCTGAGCCCCTGGGATTGCAGGCAGTACCACCTTGACTAGCTTTTTAGGACGGGCAGGAATGGAACCTAGATAGGCCATGTGGTTCTAACCTATGGAGCACAGCATCTTAGCAGTGTGCACTACCATGGCTGGGACTTACATTTTCTTTTCCAGTAGATGAGGTTAGCAAAGCCAATGGCAAAGACGACGACGACAAAAGGCACAAAAACAGAGGACCAGAAGTGTGAGTTTCCTGGAGGGAGGCAAGATAGAGACTGTTACTGCAGAGCTGAGCACAGCTTTTCTTCTCACATGGATATGCTCCAGCCACTGTCCACCCAGGCCCCAAAGCTCAGAGGGTATGAGGTCTCACTCAGGTCCTTAGAAAAGGCTGGAGGTATGTTGAGTGGCAGGAGACCCTGCTACCCGAGGAGTAGGGTCCCTTATGCATGGTTGCAACTGCAGGATCTACTCTGGGGTCCACAGGAGGCAAAGCCTGGGGGCTGGCAGGTAGGAAAGAACATGTGGGTCCTGATCAATGCAGAGCCCAGTCACTGCGGCCTGAGGACATGGCAGGGACCAACCTGGGGAGACACCTGGTGAGATTGGGTGTCCTGGCTTCACCCCTTGTGAAATTACAGCACAGATAGAGTCAAAGATACACAGGCACACGGGGATGGGAGCATAGAGTGGGGTGTGGTTGTGGCCTCTCAGCCCACCTCCGGGTTATCCAGATGAGCAACAGAAGGTCAAGGAGTGAAGAATTCATACCATACCATTACTCAACCTAAAGGCTCTTCCTGGGGACCAGCAGATGGCATAATGGTTAATTCTCTGGGCTCCCACACAGTTGACCACAGTTTGAGTCCCAGACCCAGCGGCTTAAAACTCACGCCAGGCACATGTGGGTGTGTGCCCAAAATCCCAAGAGGAGAATGAAGGAGAAGGGATTGCAGTATGGCCATCCTCCCAGGGAGTGATTTCTCGCTGTCTCTCTGTTTCTGTCTCTCCAGAAAGCACATATGTCCTATAACAAAAATCTCTTAAAAAAGGCTCTTCCTGAATTTCATCTTAGAACCTTACATTTTTGTTTTTAGATGTTAAAATATTCTTTAAATGCATTTGTGTTTGTGTGTGTGTGTGTGGGGGGGGTTAGTTTGCTATAGGATATGTGCATTCACCAGAGATATAGATGCAGAGAGAGAAAAGGCAAGAAAATCATGCCCACAGGGAAGGTGGCTTTATTCTCCTCCATTCTTGTCTTAAGATTTTGAGCATGCGCATGCACACGTGCCCAGCATGTTTTTTTCTTTTTTCTTTTCTGCAGTCTGAAAACAGCCACTCTGTTTATTTACTGACCATATTACAAAAATAATCATGGTGGCAACCTTACTTAGTTTATCCTTCTAATAAGTTTGTTGATCTGGCGTACCCTGTTGCCAGCATCTCCACCTTCTACAAAATGGGTGGTCTTTTTTTAATTCTAACTAGTGGAGAAGGTAATCAGAAGGGCCACAGGAGGTTATTTGCTGCTTTGAAGTGTTTTCCAAGAGTATAGATTTCATTAATCAGATCCTCCATGCAGGTGATGCCAAATTTATAAAGAGATCGAGCAATCAAAGAGTTATCTGTCAAAACAATTCGCTTATTAATTTTGCCATAACCATGCTTGTAGATCAGTTCATTTATTGACCTCAGGTTCAGGTACCTCCATGCAATATATTGTTCCACAATTCTCAGCATGTTAATTGAGGCCTTGTTGAGCTTAACAAAGGTGCCATTAAAGATGTGGCGAAGACAAAGAAGCTACAACACCTTTCGAACCTTTGGGTTCGCTTGAATATTGATACCTCTGATCCTGATGACAAATGCTGATTTGGGTTCTTCAGGTACATAGAAGTTGCCAGCTTTTCTTGCCATCCTGGCCAGGCGAATCTCAGTTCTGTACATCTGTCTATATTCCTTATGATAGTGCTTAGCTTTTTCATAGATAAGCTTCCTCTTTGCCTTTCAAAGCATCTTTTGAGCAAGCTTCTTTCTCAGGTGCTTGATCTTCAGCTCTGCAAAATTCCTTCACTTTTTCTTAAAGGTTTCTGGCACAGCAGGAGCCTTTTTCTTGGTTTCTGCCACAGCAGAAAACTTCTTTTTCTTCTCTTGAACGCCCTCCATGGTTCCAGCCAGAAAAGAGCGCCCAGCATGTTTTTCAAGCCACAAGGTTGATGGCTCGAAAGGCACAATTGGTCATAAGAGATCCAGCTGCCTTAACCTCTATACCACCTGCTGAGGGTAAAGTGGTATAGAAGTATTTGTGTGTCATTCTAACCACATTTTTTTTGGTGGAAATGAACAAGCTGATTCCAAAATTGATACACTGAAGTCCAAGAGCAGCTTGGATAATATTAAGAAAGGAGGACAAGGAGAACTTGAGCCTTTGCACGTCAAGACTTATCACAAAAGATAGGCAGAGGAAAAGTCCCAGAGTTCCATAGATACTCGGTTTGTGACCAAGGTGATGCTGAGAGCAGGGAAAGGACCATGTTTTTCACATATGGTGCTCAGTCAGTTGTATGTACACATGAGAAAAAAAAAAAAACATTACTGGGGCCAGCTGGTGGCATGGTGGTTAAGGAGGCTGAATCTCACATGGCCACCATCAGGTTCAAGTCCCAGACCCAGTGGATTAAAAAACTCACCAGCACATATGTGAGCATCCCTAAAATCCCAAGAGGAGAATGGAGAAGGGATTGCAGGTGGCAATCCCTGCTGGAGGATGATTTCTCACTTTCTCTTTCCTTATCCCTACCTCTCTCCAGTGAGTACATGCACCTACATCAAATTTAAAAAAACAATAACAAGGGACCAGCAGTTGGCATAATGGCTATGTCGCTGGACTCCCATATAGTCGACCATGGTTCGAGTCCTAGACTCAGTGGCTTAAACACACCAAGCACGAGTGCGTGCGTGCCCAAGATCCTGAGAGGAGAATGGAGGAGAAGGGATTGCGGCATGGCCATCCTCCTTCAGGGGTGATTTCTCACTTTCTGTCTTTCTGTTTCTCTAGCAAGTGCATGTGCCCAATAGCAAAACCCTCTCCAGAAAAAACACAAAATTAAGGGTCGGCAGGTGGCATGATGGTTAAAGCACTGGACTCCCATATGGTCAACTGTGGTTCAGGTCCTGAATCAAGCAGCTTGTTTTCTCACTTTCCCTTTCTCTCTATCTCTGTTTCTCTCTGGTCAAATTAAAAAATAATAATGATAAAGTTAAAATTAAATTCTGGATTTGCTGTAGAATAAAATATAAAAAGTAGAACAATAAAGCTTCTAATAGATAGGAACCAGCAGTTGGCGTAATGGCTATATTGCTGGGCTCCCATGTAGTTGATTGCAGTTCAAGTCCTGGACCTGGTGGCTTAAACTCACACTGGGCACGTGTGTGTGCGTGCCCAAGATCCCAAAGGGATAATGGAAGAGAAGGTACTGCAGCGTGGCCATCTCCCTTAGGGGGTGATTTCTTGCTTTGTGTCTTTCTGTCTCTGTCTTTCTGGCAAGCACATGCGCCCTATAGCAAAAACCTCTCCTAAATAAATGAATGAATGAATGAATAAATAAATAAATAAATAAATAAATAAATAAATAAATAAATAAATAAAAGCTTCTAGCAAATAAGGTGAGAGAGTATCTTTTCAGGGTGAGCAAAGATTTCCTATATAGAACACAAAGAGCACTGACCATATTAGGAAAACAACAATAAACTGGATCACATTAAAACTGAGAATTTTGGAGAAAGGCATGTTTGCCTCCTCTCTGGCCTAGGTCACTCATATTCTACTTGGAAATAAACCACATTAATTATTAATTATTAATTTTTAACATTGGTTATTTTCTGTTGGTAAGGTGGCGACCACGAAGGGACCAGAGATGAACTGGAAATCTTCCTAGGGTTGCTTCAAACCCAGTGCCTGGTACCAGCAGTGGGCCCTTTGTGCCCTCTCTGGCTCCAAGCCTCTCCTGGGGGAGATTTGACAAGTCCTCTGGCCCTGGACTTCCCAAAATTTGGTAGATGGTCTGGTTTATTTCTAAGCTGGTTTTACATGTTCATCTGTCGTTTGTTTGTCTGTTTTGGGTGACCCAGGTTTGCTCTCCTCAGGGTGAGGGGCAGCGGTTTGTTCTCCTCAGAGCAAGGGTTAGTGGTTTGCTCTCTTCAAGCAAGGTGTAGTGTTTTGTTAAGCAAGTCAGGTTATGAAAGAGAGACATTGTATGTCTCCACTTAACATTTACCAACTGTCTGCACTCTATAGTAGAGACTGAAAGATGGAAGACATAAAATCATTAAAAATTGTTATGGACACTAGGGACAAAATGGAAGGAGAGTGTGGAGGGGAAGAGTGCAGGAAAGATAATTTGGGGGGGAAATGGAGAGGTAATATATTTGTGGGACACAGATATGGTTTATTATCTGTTGATGAGGAGGTATATAGTATTTTCAACTGGACTGAGATGTATAGCATGCTGGGTAAAGTCTTTTTACAATCTTTAATGAAAACAGGGAACTATAGCACATAGGACAAATCCAGCCCACTCTCCATTTTTGTAAATAAAGTTCGATTGGCATACAGTCAAGAGCATTCATTTACTTGTCTTTGGCTGTCTTTTTTTTTTTTTTTTTAAGATTTTCTTTTTTGCCACATAGTGCATGCACTCACCAGAGAGAGAGAAAGTAAAAAATTACCCCCCTTGGGGGAAGGCCATGTCGCAATCCCTTCTCCTCCATTCTCATCTTGGGATTTGGGGCATGCAAGTACATGCACCCAGTATATTTTCTTTCTGATTCTTTTTCTGAATTTTGCCATAAGGTGAATGCGCTTGCAAGAGAGGCAGAAAGTGAGAAATCACCCCACACACCCCCAGGGGAGGGCCACACTGCAATTCCCTTTTGTCCATTCTCCCGTTGGGATTTTGGACACACACATGCACACCCAACATGAGTGTTAAGTCACCAGGTCCAGGACTCAAACCATGGTTGACCCCATGGGAGTCCAGCGACATAACCATTATTCCATCTGCTTGTCCCCATCCAGTATATTTTTGAGGTCACCATGTTCAGGATTCAAATTGCAGAGTTGGCCATGTGGGATCCAGCACCTCAACCACTATCCCACCTGCTGGCCCCCTGGCTGCTTTTACTACAATGCCAGAGTTGAGTAATGACAACAGAGGCCAAATGGGCAGCAAAGCCTCAAATATTTACCTTTCCAGAAAAAGGGTTGCTCACCTGATTTACAAGATGAAATTAGTCCCTTACCTGACTCTGGATTTGCTTCACCACACACTGTGTCTGCTGTGGCATTGCACGGATAACGGATGACTCTGTTTTTGGGACACCTGTGAGGAAACCCCAAGCATTACTTCTCTCCCCCATACTCAGTGCAAAGCATCCTCATCAGCACCCACTGGGCAGGGTTTAGAAGAAGTCCTAATACACTTCGGGCAATCAGTACCTGGCATTGCTCAGACTATCTGGCCCATATTGGTTTAATGAGAGTAAAGGTTAGGAGTCCTCCATGATATTTTGGGGTAAGTCCCTTCTTCCCTCCCTCTTTCACTCTCTCCCTAGATAGAGCAGAATTTAGCTACATGAACTGTACCTGCTGAAGCCATGCCTCTACTAGAGATGAAGTCAGTCTGTGGGAAAGGAGAAAGGCAAGAGAGTCCAGAGAAGCCAGAGTCTTGATCAAATCAGACCTGAAGGCAGTCCTTCCTTTGAACTTGTTAAGTATGTGAGCCAACAGTTCAATGTGGTCTGAGTTGTGTTTACAAGTCTATAATATGCCTTAAAAATGCAAGCTATTTTGAAAGAGGCTTTAACACTGTAAATATCTCCCCAAAATACTCCCCCCAAATACATGCCCACCCAGAACCCAAACATGTCACCTTATTTGGAAACAAGAGTCTTTTCCGATGTAATTAAGTTAAGATGAGGTCATACTGGATTAAGGAGGTCCCTCATCCAATGACCAGTGTCCTTAGTAGAGGGAAATTCGGTCACAGAGAAGGCCATGAAGACAGGGACACAGACACAGACGAGAGCAGACCAGGTGAAGACGGAGGCAGAGATGGAGTGATGTGGCCATGAGTCAAGGAAGTGAAGGACTGCCCACCACCGCTAGAAGCTGGAAGAAGAAAGGATCCTCTCTTAGGGGGACAAGGCTCTGCTGACACCTTGGTTTTGGACCTCTGCAGTTCAGAACAATGAAATAATTTCTGTTTCTTTAAATCACCTATTGGGTCGTCAGAAGTCATGACATTTTTCTATGCAAAAATGCATCATGACTTTTCCCTTTTTAAAAATTATTTTATTTAACTTTCTTTCCTTCTTTCTCTTCTTTCTTTCTTTTCTTTCCTCCTTTCTTTTCTTTTCTTTCTTTCTTTCTCTCTCTCTCTCTTTCTTTCTTTTTTTTTGGGGGGGGAGAAGGACAGAGAGAGAGAGAGAGAGAGAGAGAGAGAGAGAGAGAGAGAGAGAGAGAGAGAGAGAGAGAGAGAGAGAGAGAGAGAGAGAGAGAGAGAGAGAGAGAGAGAGAGAGAGAGAGAGAGAGAGAGAGAGAGAGAGAGAGAGAGAGAGAGAGAGAGAGAGAAATTGAGACAGTAAGTGACCAGGTCTGGGACTTGAACCGCAGTAGGCCATGTGGGAGTTCAGCACCCTTCACCACACCACCTGCTGGCCCCATTGTGACTTTTCTGACGGCCCAATAGTTTGTTATGGTGGCTGCAGAACACTAATATAGTGACTGTTTGGGCCACAGGCCCCAGGACAGCCATTCACTCTGCCCACAGCTCTCTTCCCCCAGAACTCTCTATGGCTCCCTTTCTCCCTTATTCATCAGGCCTCTGCTTGAGGATCATCTCTTCGGAGATAGTTCCTGACCACTAAGTCTACAATAGCCGTCTTGGCCCTCTGTGCTTCCTGGAGTTGTCACTAGACAGACTTAGACTGTATGTGCATTTTGATTGTGTCCCCCACTGCTAGGGATTCAAGCTCTCCAATACCACCTACAGGCCACAGTGGAGCTCAGTAAACATTTGCTGAATGAATGCACAAATGAATGAATGAGCACTTCTTCCAGGCAGGCCTCCAGGCAGAATCATTTAGGTGCTGTACTTGATTTCATCTTCAGGACACCTCTATGTGGCAGGAACTATCTTATTAGCCCCATTTTACAGATGGGGACAATGACGCTTGGGGCAGCTATATAAGTGATCCAAAGCCAAATAAGCAGTGAGTGGAAAGGAAGTTAGCCCACCCATGTTCCCCAAAGCTGTGACCTGCTGCACCGGAAGCAGTTCTCCACACAGTCTGCCGAGTCACAATAGAAACTGCCTCGCTTGCACTGGCAGCGCCGGTCACTGGTCATAGTGCATTCCGCCACGATCTCCTGGTCTGTGGAAGAGGAGAGGCTGAGGGTCAGTCATCAGGGATGAGGCTCCATCTCGCATCCAGTGGGCCATGACACAGCAAAGCCTCCTTCACTTGCACCTTGGTCCTGGCCATAGAACCTGCCTTCACCCTCTCCTCTAACACAATAACCCATAACTCCCAAAATGTGACCACCAGAGCCCTTCTCTGCAATCTACGGTGTCCATGGAAGGGCTGGTGGGTGCCCCTGCAATCAAGAGTACCCTTCACTCAGGGAGGCATAGGGCCAGCCTTTAACATCCCCAAATGATTCCCTTCATCTCATTTTCCCCAGAAAGAAAAGAACACCGTGTCTGCATGGACACAGCCCCAGCTAGAGTAAGGTAGCAGAAGAATCCTTGCAATCCTGCCTGCTCCAACGCCCTCTGCAGTCACCACCACCCTCCTGCACAGCCCTTTTGCACACTCAAATGTACACACCCACAAAAACACATGCAGCACGAGACGCTGAGCCATAGCACCATGCTGCTGGATGTCTCAGATGTTGGCTGTTTAGGCAACACAGAGTGAGCAGCTTTACAAAGCAGACGCCTTTGCCCACCTGCAGGTTTTCTCTTCTAACGAGTTGAAGAACTATATGTGAGATAATGTAAAACGGTCTGAAAGAACAGTTGCTGAGTAAGTGGGGAAAAACAAACAAAAAATGAGACCTTCAGGCCCACACCTCCCCAGCTTGATACCAAAAACTCGATAACAAGAACTCGATAGCAAGAACTCAACTCCCAGCCTGATACCAAGCTTGGGTCTCTGCACATGCCAAACCTTGACCCCAGACCAAGCTCAGCCTGGTTTTCTCTGTAATTTTGCCACATCCCTGCATGTCCTTAGACCAGGCGTGCTTAGTAGGACGTGCCCATGAGCAGACATAAGGGGTCGTACTGTGCTTCTGCTCTGCAGCTCCCCGTTGTTGCAGGGACTGTTGACACGCGGATGCTGCCATGGGCGTTCACACCATTTCCAGCCCCTCTGCTGGGGGATATCTGAGTTATTTCTGGTGTGATGTTTCTACAGAATTTTTCCCGTCTTATGCTACACATGGGCAAGAGCTTTTTCCATCTACATCAAGACGCAGAATGGGGACCAGATGGTGGCACAGCAGTAAACACGATGCTCTGCCAGGCCGACCCAGAGGGAAGGCTCGGGGTTTGTGTTTGCAGAGCGCCCTAAGCACACAGGCCCAGCCCCATGACTCGAGGCTAGCTGAGCATCATGCTCCTCCTGGAGTGCAGTCTTTCCTCTCTGTCTGTCTTCTCACTCATACAACAGAGAAATAAATAAACTTGAAAAAAAAAAAAAGACACGGAATGGATAAGGAGTAGCTTGGGGACATTTTCAGCCTCACTAGTTATGCCCAAATGGTTTTCCTATTTTTTTAATTAACACAATTTTTAAAAATTATTTCTTTTCTTTTCTTTTCTTTTCTTTCTTTCTTTCTTTCTTTCTTTCTTTCTTTCTTTCTTTCTTTCTTTCTTTCTTTCTTTCTTTCTTTCTGTTTGACCGGAGAAGGACAGAGAGAGAGAGAGAGAGAGAGAGAGAGAGAAATTGAGACAGTAAGTGACCAGGTCTGGGACTTGAACCGCAGTAGGCCATGTGGGAGTTCAGCACCCTTCACCACACCACCTGCTGGCCCCATTGTGACTTTTCTGACGGCCCAATAGTTTGTTATGGTGGCTGCAGAACACTAATATAGTGACAGAGGCCATTCTGTTTGGGTCACAGGGCACAGGACAGCCATTCACTCTGCCCACAGCTCTCTTCCCCCAGAACTCTCTATGGCTCCCTTTCTCCCTTATTCATCAGGCCTCTGCTTGAGGATCATCTCTTCGGAGATAGTTCCTGACCACTAAGTCTACAATAGCCGTCTTGGCCCTCTGTGCTTCCTGGAGTTGTCACTAGACAGACTTAGACTGTATGTGCATTTTGATTGTGTCCCCCACTGCTAGGGATTCAAGCTCTCCAATACCACCTACAGGCCACAGTGGAGCTCAGTAAACATTTGCTGAATGAATGCACAAATGAATGAATGAGCACTTCTTCCAGGCAGGCCTCCAGGCAGAATCATTTAGGTGCTGTACTTGATTTCATCTTCAGGACACCTCTATGTGGCAGGAACTATCTTATTAGCCCCATTTTACAGATGGGGACAATGACGCTTGGGGCAGCTATATAAGTGATCCAAAGCCAAATAAGCAGTGAGTGGAAAGGAAGTTAGCCCACCCATGTTCCCCAAAGCTGTGACCTGCTGCACCGGAAGCAGTTCTCCACACAGTCTGCCGAGTCACAATAGAAACTGCCTCGCTTGCACTGGCAGCGCCGGTCACTGGTCATAGTGCATTCCGCCACGATCTCCTGGTCTGTGGAAGAGGAGAGGCTGAGGGTCAGTCATCAGGGATGAGGCTCCATCTCGCATCCAGTGGGCCATGACACAGCAAAGCCTCCTTCACTTGCACCTTGGTCCTGGCCATAGAACCCGCCTTCACCCTCTCCTCTAACACAATAACCCATAACTCCCAAAATGTGACCACCAGAGCCCTTCTCTGCAATCTACGGTGTCCATGGAAGGGCTGGTGGGTGCCCCTGCAATCAAGAGTACCCTTCACTCAGGGAGGCATAGGGCCAGCCTTTAACATCCCCAAATGATTCCCTTCATCTCATTTTCCCCAGAAAGAAAAGAACACCGTGTCTGCATGGACACAGCCCCAGCTAGAGTAAGGTAGCAGAAGAATCCTTGCAATCCTGCCTGCTCCAACGCCCTCTGCAGTCACCACCACCCTCCTGCACAGCCCTTTTGCACACTCAAATGTACACACCCACAAAAACACATGCAGCACGAGACGCTGAGCCATAGCACCATGCTGCTGGATGTCTCAGATGTTGGCTGTTTAGGCAACACAGAGTGAGCAGCTTTACAAAGCAGACGCCTTTGCCCACCTGCAGGTTTTCTCTTCTAACGAGTTGAAGAACTATATGTGAGATAATGTAAAACGGTCTGAAAGAACAGTTGCTGAGTAAGTGGGGAAAAACAAACAAAAAATGAGACCTTCAGGCCCACACCTCCCCAGCTTGATACCAAAAACTCGATAACAAGAACTCGATAGCAAGAACTCAACTCCCAGCCTGATACCAAGCTTGGGTCTCTGCACATGCCAAACCTTGACCCCAGACCAAGCTCAGCCTGGTTTTCTCTGTAATTTTGCCACATCCCTGCATGTCCTTAGACCAGGCGTGCTTAGTAGGACGTGCCCATGAGCAGACATAAGGGGTCGTACTGTGCTTCTGCTCTGCAGCTCCCCGTTGTTGCAGGGACTGTTGACACGCGGATGCTGCCATGGGCGTTCACACCATTTCCAGCCCCTCTGCTGGGGGATATCTGAGTTATTTCTGGTGTGATGTTTCTACAGAATTTTTCCCGTCTTATGCTACACATGGGCAAGAGCTTTTTCCATCTACATCAAGACGCAGAATGGGGACCAGATGGTGGCACAGCAGTAAACACGATGCTCTGCCAGGCCGACCCAGAGGGAAGGCTCGGGGTTTGTGTTTGCAGAGCGCCCTAAGCACACAGGCCCAGCCCCATGACTCGAGGCTAGCTGAGCATCATGCTCCTCCTGGAGTGCAGTCTTTCCTCTCTGTCTGTCTTCTCACTCATACAACAGAGAAATAAATAAACTTGAAAAAAAAAAAAAGACACGGAATGGATAAGTAGTAGCTTGGGTACATTTTCAGCCTCACTAGTTATGCCCAAATGGTTTTCCTATTTTTTTAATTAACACAATTTTTAAAAATTATTTATTTATTTTGACCAGAGAGGGACAGAGTAAGAGAGAGCGAGAGAGACAAAAAGTGAGAAAGCAAGCCACCAGGTCCAGGACTCGAATCATGACTGACCATATGGGAGTCCAGTACCCTTAACCACCACACCACCTGCTGGTCCCCCCAAGTGCTTTTCCAAAGTGGCTGTACCAATTGTGAATTCTCCCAGGACTTGACAAGTCTGTTTTTCTATGTCCCCATGAGCACTTAGTCAGCACAGTACATATAAAATAGTATATCTTGGGGCAAGCAGGTGGTGCAGTGGTTAGGGCGCTGGACTCTCATGGCCGACCATGGTTCAAGTCCCAGATCTGATGGCTTACTCTCTCTCCTCTCTCTTTCTGATCAGTTCACATGCCCTATAGAAACTTAAAAAAAAAAAAAAAGTATCTTTTTTTTAGTTTTTAGTATCTACCTACTGTTTGAACAGAATCCCAACCTTTTTCCTGGCTTTAAGTCTTAAGCAAAATTTTCTTAACATTTTTAAATTTTGATTTTCTGTCTCTCTGGCAAGCGCATGTGCCGTATAGCAAAAATCTCTCTCTAAAAAAAAGAAAAAAGAAAAAAAAAACAAAACGCTAAAACTGCTTTGCTTGAAATTAAAAAAAAAAAAAATTGGGCCCAGCAGTTAGTGGAATGGCTATGTCACTGGACTCCCATGTGATCGACCGTGGTTTGAGTCCCAGACCTAGTGGCTTAACATGCCGGGCGTGTGTGTGCGTGCCCAAGATCCCAAGAGGAGAATGGAGGAGAAGGGATTGTGGCATGGCCATTCCCCATCCCCCCTGGGGGG